CACGTTTCAAATTACTCAACAAATTGCCGTTCAAAACCTGTAATTATATATAAATCTCCTTAATAACAGATGATGATAATATTTAATTTTCCACATCTTTACTTCGATTTAGTCATTACACATGAGTCCAAGATTAAAATGAATCTCAGAATCGCAATGAAATTATCATTTAAAAGCAAAACGCCTTTCATTAGGACGTGCGAGTCACGCAATGTCTATCATAATTTTCGAGATCACAGTTATGTCTTTTAAATGTAAAGCCGCAAATACTTTTGCGGTTGATACGGGTGCTATTCTAAGAAGATAAAAAAACTTCTTTAAATTATTTATTTGAATGTATTATGGAAGTGCTCGATATAGCTCTATTTTGTTTTTTTATTTTTTATAGAGATTTAGTAAAATATATTGGATTACGTGACATGGTTGTAATTTAATATTTGATCTATTGTATTATATCTATTTATTTTTGACGACACGTTTGGCTCAGTTTGTAGTGACCCTACTTGCTGTGCCAGCGGTGGCGGGTTCGAGTCCCGCTGGGAGCATTCATTTGTGTGGTAAGCACGAATGTTTGTACTCCAGTCGTGGGTGTTTATATTTATAATATGTGTGTGTGTGTGTAATATATAATGTGTACCTATTTATCTAAAGTTGTATATGTGTAATATATCAACTATCTGGTATCCACAACACAGGCCACGTAGCTTACCATGGAACTAGATGGTGCTGTGTGTTTATGTCCCAACATATTTATTTATTGCAATTTAAAATAAAAATATTTTAAGGAGTTTTCATATTATTACTACATAATCTCTGATGAACTCTGTTCCATCTAACCTTTTTGAACCCTTACGATACATTTTTATTAAGCTAACTGATTGGTGATATGATCGAAATAACTAGGTCTTTAACGCACAGTCACGATTGATTCGCATTAAACTAATAATTTTCATTTCAATGTTTAATACAACTAAGATGAATATTGCAATTTAATATAGCAATCATCTTTGCTATTTGTCAGTCGAGTAGTTACTTTCGCTAGACTAGTAAATTACGAGCATATATTATACTGAGCTGTTCAGCCGCCAGCAAAGTTTTTTTTACCAAGAAACCTACACGTTTTGAGCCGATAATGCAGCAAAAAGGTTGAATAAAAAGAAAATTGCTATATAAGGTGGTCTCTACATATAGAGAGTGCAAGATTTTTTTATTTATATGCAGTTACGTTCTGTGATCAAAAAATACATGTTTATATCTATACATATAATAAAATTCTTACTGAGTCGAATCTGTACATTAAATATTTTTGGACAATCTTATTAAAATGATCATTATCATCGACACAGAGGCGGAATCTGTAGTTTTTAGAATTTTTGTATGTCTGTCTGTCTGTTACCGCATCACGGAAAAACCACTGGAGGGATTTTGGTGAAATTTGGTATGGTGATAGGTGGTTATCCTGGTCAGCATATAAGATACTTTTTACCGCGGGAAAATGTCTCATTTCTGAGAAAAATACAAATACTGCAATGTAAGAGTATAGTAATATGTAAAACCTAAGAATTTGGTTTTTGGCGAGCTGCGGGCAGTGCTAGTTTACTATAAAGCTCAACATGCCATGCATTGAGTCTAATAATTTATTTGATTATAATGAAATCATACAATATGAATTATTATTAAAATTTGACAAAATGTACTAGAAAACTATGTCGGACGGAAGCACTCCGCTATCGGCGATTCATTATAGTCACGTTTTTTCCTCTTCGATATCATCATTACTGATGTATCAAAGAGTTATTTATTTTCTTACGCCGTTATTATTAAAAATGAAGATGTACTTTTTGCGGTCACACTTCCGAATATCTTATTAGTGCCCGAGCTCTAATGCGAGTGACTTGTTACATTCTTATTTTGTTTACGCTTATTCATATTATGATCTTTCACTTTTGTTAATAAATGCATGACTGATAAGTATATTATTTTTATATTTACTATGAAAATGGTAGCTAAATGGTATCGCGCTTAGGAAACCAAGTGAAGCGGGATAAAATTCCGGGTCTTGCACCTCCAACTTTTACATGTGCGAATATTTTCAACATGATTACCATTTGTCTTACGGTGAAAACATCGTAAGGTGAATGAAACATGCAGGTTTTATGTCTAAGAGAACCCAGCAAAAACATGTGAAATCCGCGAACCCGCACTTGGTCAGTGGACTATAGCCTGATCTCTCTGGTACTAAAATGAAGCCCACCAGTGTTATGTTGAAATAAATGAAAAAATTCAAGGTTTTTATAATCCTTGGACATTTCTTATAATATTAAGATCTTTACCTTATTTTTAAAGAGATTCTTTAATCGCATATTTATTAGGTATAATATATCACTATATTTTAGTTACAATATTGTTTGTAAGTTTTTTTCTTTAGAAAATAAATTTTTTTAGTAAAACCAAAATAGTGATGTACCAAATTACAATTCTCCTTCACTATTCCGCTTATTCTATCTTGATTCTATGGATAGAATCTTGCGATCTATAAATAGCTTTCGCTTTACAGACTGATCTTCGCGATACTTTAAGTTTTATTTTATTAGTAAAAGCTCGTATGTCAAGAAAATAAATAGGACAAACTTTTATCAAATGAGATTATCTGGTTGGTTTCTAGCAACACATTTCTACAGAAATTCACGTTGCCATAACGGTAATTTTTTGCAAATTAAAGATTGTGTTATGACGAAATACTTTCTTAAATTATTACAAGATTTTTTGACATTTTAAATAAAACTAACGCTGTTTAATTTTTTTATCTCCCGTCTTCATGTATTCTGTAGAGCGAAACAAAATAATGATAAAACTGCAAAAAATATAGTTTTAAATGATTATTTCATACAAGGATTCAGTATATATATATATATATATTTATATATATATATATATATATATATATATATATATATATATATATAATATAAATATTGTAATATATTAAACCATATAATATGATACTTGCCATAACAGAACAAAATTGTTTTACATTGATCCACCTGTAGCAATTTATTTAATAAATTGTGTACCCTCTAAGACTAAAAGTTATTGCTGACAAGTGCAGATGGTAAAATACTATATACATTATATATAAATTTTCGATACGCAAAAGGCAAATTCCTAGGGGTCACAAGTACAGATCCGGAAGATTTATATCGTGCGATACAGTTTAACTCCAGCGCCGACACCACCGTTACATTCGTGACATCGGAAAGATTATTACGCAATCAATCTCATTTTATATGACGAATAATTTATGATTTTGCTGAAGAAATTCACCATATTTTTATGTAATATAGTCACATAGGTACTTGGTTAAATTATGTATCTTTATATATATCCGACGTTACCATCAAAATCAGTTCCGCCGGTTATAAATTATTTTACAGGAAAATAATATAAAGCTTTTTTGATAATGGTTTCACGTATTATGTATACGGTTTTCGAAATAACTTTGAATGTAATTGTACCTCCTTTAGGGTTATTTTTTTAAAAAAGATAAGATATAATCTCCTACCTACTGTTTTTAATAAAATCAGTTTACAATTGGTGACAATATAGTGTGAAAACATACACAAAGACGTGATAAAAAATAATTGAGTTCTCCTCCTTTTATGAAATCGGTCATTAACAGATCGTTTATAGTTCGATTACATACTTAGTTTAATGGTTCATAATAAAACATTAATTTATTAAGAGGTTATGTTATAGTTATTTATAATTCTTATCTTTAGATTTTGATAACCACTGCAATTATTACATTTATGAACGCATATTTTATCTAAAAATATACTCGCATAATACCTGTTTTATGTCATTGGGCGGTGCTTTTTGTTTGAAATCTATTGGTTGCTAAGTACTGCTCATTCCATAAAATCATTTTATAGCTTTCTTTTTGGGATGTATTCGTCCGTGCAAATAAGAAAAAATATAAAAATTTACAATAACTTACTTAAAATATGTGCAAATTATTTTATGATTTTTTTTAAATATACTTAGTTATTAAGTTATGTCCGCCAACCCGCGCTTGGCCAGCGTGGTGGACTATGGCCTTATCTCCCTCGTATTAAAGGAAGGCCTGTGCCCAGCAGTGAGACGGTAAAAAGGTCTGAATACAAAATAGTTATTAAATAAATAAATTAATTAATAAATAAATATGTTCGGACATTAACACACAGCACCATCTAGTACCTTGCTAAGCTACAACGCGTGCGTTTTGAATACCAGATATATACTCGTATTATAAATATAAACACCCATGATTGGAGTACAAACATTCGTGTTCGTCACACAAATGAATGCCCCCAGCGGGACTCGAACCCGCGACCGCTGGCTCAACAAGTAGGGTCACTACAAACCATCGTCAAAAAATTAAAGTTTTAATTGAGGTCTCCCTGTAGAGCGCGCACAAAGGTATTTAAACCGATGAACGCTATGAAAATAATATGTAATGACTAACTCATTATTTGACCAATATCAAAAGTTTTAAAAGTTGCTAAATATTTTTTTATTTCGAGCTATAACATAAATATAAAACTTTAACTCAAAAGTGTGAATGACCTTTTCATACGTATAGTTCATACAATCCCATACTTTTCAAGTATCCATCGCATAAAATGCAAATTATTGGTTTTCGATAAGTAAATTAGACACCTAATTTGTAAATGTGGCTTATTATGTGAGGTACCCCCGAACAGTATCATTATCTACATGAATAATTATAGTTACGAATGCTAGTGAATCGTGGTATGCTTCTTAACTTTTTACTCTTGAGTATTTATTAGTTTAATAATATAAAATTATATTTAAAGATCAGATTTCTAACGTCCATGTGTTGTATTGCTTTACCATGACGTTAGAGTGAATTTTGATACTCTTATGTGTTTCGGTCACTTACTAGAAGCTTTTTTTCATAAGTTATCTAAAGCTCTATATTTAATTTCATAGAAAAATAAATGTTTTTAGTACATAATGTTACTACACTGCAGCTTAACTATGCATTTGTTACAGGAATTCAAACAGACCGAACTGAGCATGCGTACGCGTCGGCACAGGAATACAAAGAGGCTCTCGAAGCGCTCCGAAGGAACACCGGCGTTGTGAGTACATTACAGCACAAAAGCTTGCTTATACTGTAACAACAAGAACTTGTTATATATTCAACGATAATGCAGGGTCTATAATACGAAAGATTTCCAGATATTTCATGTATCGAATATAACTTACCTACAGCTATGATGTATTGAATATATAATGACTTTTTTACCTATAAATTACATCGACTTTATAATCAAATTGCTTATTACATCCTTAGTTATTTTTTTTACATTAAAATCGGTTTACAATAGATGAAGATATCACGTAACATGCACACAAAAGGCCGTTGAATATTATAAATTCAATTAAAAATAGGTCAGATGCGTGTCGGCCGCAAATGAATTAAGGTTTTAAATTCCTGATAACTATATAGTTATTTTATACTGGCGTCAAGAGAGTGGGAGGAAATAGACTGTCAGGTGCAGATATAAGTCACCAAATAAGGTTTCATTGCATCGTATAAAATAAAAAAAAATATGTTGTTAGTACGTCTTTTTTTCTCTAGATGGGCACATAAAAAAGTTATATATACCGCAAACGCTGTTAAATTTATTTTAGATTTAATCTAATTATAATGATAAACCATTTCAACAGGAACGCAGCAAACCCCAACGCACACTCGAATCGGAAATTAGATCTGAAGAGATCGATCAAGAGATACCAGAAGAAATCATCCCAAGCCCATGGGAACTGAACAATACAGCGCGTGCTGAAACAGAAATATTATTTTTCAACCGCGTACCTAAAGTCGGCAGCCAAACCTTTATGGAGCTACTTCGTAGACTTTCTATAAGAAATAGTTTTGGTAGGTTAATAACACATATAATATATATTTTTGAAAAATCCATATTAATAAGCCTTTTACCTTTAGTAGGGTTTTTAATTTTAACTATTGTAGTGCAGTCGATATCCAATTGATTAATGCTACATTTCATGTTGGAGGTCGAGGTTAAGTTTTCATATAAATGTTATGTGTTACCACCGGAGTATGAGAGTGACAGGAACAGAGAGTGCACCTGTGTCTGCGCGTACACTTGTGCACTATAATATCTCCTGCGCAGTTGGCTAGTCTCAATGAGATTGGCCGCCATAGCCGAAATCGACTAGGAGAATATCATGTGTTACCATGGTGGTGTTGGATGGTTCCAACACGCAGTGACTTATAAGTATGTAGGGACATATTAAGGGTACGCGAAGTAAAGGCTAAATACTAACTTTATCATCTGTTTCTCTTAAGACAAATATATATATAAAAAACATTAATTTTTAACTACATTCATATTTCTCAATAATTGAAAATGAACGAATAAGAATTTAATTCATATGAATAATAATTATAAAAAATTAAAAATTAGCATACATAAATATAGTCACCAAGTGTATTTTTAACAAAATTATCACATTCATATTTATCAGTTTTATAGCACGCTGTTCGCATAAACAGTAATAAAAGCGGAACACGCGAATGCGACATAAATTGCACTCTTTAGTGTGCCATTGCATTTATGTACTGAGTTATCAAAGCCATCTACTCTCACAATACACTTCATCCGTATATTTTAAACACCAAGGAAGAAAAGTGAAGAAGAAGAAGTGCTGATAAGCCTAATTATACCTGCTTTTTATAGCAGATTTCCGATTAAAGCGTAATAGGAAATATAGAGATGTTATGAAAATTAATTCGTAGACTAGGTACTATGATGTATGTATGAACATAATAATGTAGTACGTAATAGTGTTGCTTAATATTTAGATTTTTTTAAAGTATAGCAAACTAAATTAAAATTATTATTCTTAAATAATTTTATTTTTTTTAAATTACACATAGAACAATTTGGCTTGAATAATTAATTAATTTTTTTAATTTAAAATGTCAAATATTCCCGTAAATCTAAGAAAGTATTATAGGTACTATGATGTTTTTATTTTCACAATATATTTTTTTAAATATACTATCTACAATTTTATTTTTATAATAAGTTTATATTCATAATATATAAACGTCGTCGTCTTTTGTTCGGTCTTTAATAGTTTCGGTTTTATTTAAATATAAAAATTATACGTTGGAAAATATAACTACGAACCTCGAAACTGAATGACTCTATGTACCTATTCAATGTCTCGTCAAAAACAATGATGGTAGCAAATCTGACTAAGTAATTGTGACCTTTTTCCAGGTCAAAATAAATTGTGTACATTGTGTATTGTCAAAAAATACAGTCTTATAATTTTTATTATGATATGTTCTCCCACGTCCCTCGATGCGTTGAATATTTGTGTAACTTTAAAATATGCAAATTTTTATTTCTCGAAATGCAAATGAATGTAAAAATAAATTAGATAAGTCTTCGTATAAAATTAGTCGATTTCTCGAAAGTCTAAAATTTCAAAGTATTCACATTAAATAAAACTATCTATTTCGGATTTTTTCGCGGATTCGGTTTCGAATGCTCTACAACAATCATGGTCATCTCGGGAACCAAAAATCAAAATAAATCCGCAAAAAATCCGAATATTTGCGTAAATCGAAGAAAGTATGATTCATATCATTTTCATCGGTTTTATATTATATGAAAACTTCATTAAAAGAATAAAAATAAGATTTAATAACATCGGTCTACACGTCCCTTTCAAGGTTTATAAGGTATAGAAAATTACAAACAGTAAAATGGGGTACTTTCACAGGTTTTCATCGGGACACAGTGCAACGCGTGGAGACAATCAGACTGGCGCCCCCCGACCAGCAGGCACTAGTGAGACTGGTGTCAGCGCACACGCCACCTGCATCTTACATTAAACACGTTTGCTACACGAATTTCACCAGGTAACTTTGAAATATCTATACATATAATAAAATTCTAACTAAGCCGAATCTGTACATTAAATATTTTTTGGAAAATAAAAGTTATTATCGATACAGACGCCGAAACTATAGTTTTTAGAATTTTTGTCTGTCTGTCTGTCTGTTACCGCATCACGGAAAAACCAGTGGAGGGATTTTGATGAAATTTGATATGATGATAGCTGGTTATCCGGGTCAACATATAGGGTACTTTTAACCGCGGGAAAATATCTCATTTCTGAGGAAAAATACAAAAACTGCATTGTAAGAGTATACTAATATGTAAAATCTAAGAAATCGGTTTTTGGTAATCTGAACGCGGGCGGAGCCGCGGGCAATGCTAGTTAATTTATAACAGTATTTTTATCATTATTTTGCAAACGTCAAAAAAGGAAAGTGAAAAACTGTCGCAGTCTTATTTTATCAAATGAATAAAAACCTCTGCTAATTTGTACTGCTGTTGCTTAATTTGTGCAGTCATTCAATCTGTGTTGTGGCCGCGTTTAAAATGTTAATAATATTATTAATTAATATGGGCCGCGTAAAGTTGCACCAGAATATTGAATTATGTATATTAGAATGCTGAATATTTTTTTTTAAATGCTAAATATTTAGTTCACTGGTAACATCATATTTTACACGTTATTAGGTACTTTATGAAATTTTAATGTAGATAATTTATATGTAAATACAGACTTTGGTGAATATAAAAGTTTGTAAAACTTTCTATTAAGCGCAAAACATGAAATTAGAGTTATTAAGAGCACATACTAGCTTGTATAGTAAAAAGTTTAATTGCAAGCATCAATCAAAATTTAACCGTCATCATCGGTCGTGTTAATAATCCTGGCTTATATTGTAAATGTGAAAGTGAATTTATCTCTTTGTTTGTATGTCCTGCTTTCCCGCTTCGCTAATACAACTGTACTTAGCCTTTCAGCCAATACTACATACGAAATTTTTTATAATGTATTATGAACAATTTTAATATACAGAATGGGCTAAAAGGGATTTACCGATTAATATTAATTTTAGCTACAATTAAAAAAAATCGTATCAACAAGTAGCATTAAATGAAAATATCTAGAAGAGAACAAACAAATATAACGACCAAGTTTTTTATTATATGTTTTTCACATGTTCTATACTCTCTTCATAGCAACTTACGGGAACAAAGTGCGATAGGTTTGCTAACTGTTTTTTTTTTGTTTTTTTAATTTAAATCTAATATAAATAAAATCATTATTCATTGCTTGATTAAACCGTCATCCACTATTCTCTAAACAAGTAGGTCGATATTCGATAATTACACTTAGTTCGTGATCTTAAATTGCTCTATTGTTTATTGAAATGCAAGCAGAGAAAATGTTATTAACCCATTATCATAGAATGTTGCATGATTAATGTTAAGGACTATTCAAATATCTATACATATAATAAAATTGTAGCTAAGCCAAATCTGTACATTAAATATTTTTTGGAAAATCTTATTGAAATAAACATTATTATCGATACAGAGGCCGAATGTATAGTTTATAGAATTTTTGTCTGTCTGTCTGTCTATCTGTCTGTTACCGCATCACAGAAAAACCACTGGAGGGATTTTGATGAAATTTGGTATGGTGATAGCTGGTTATCCAGGTCAACATATAGGATACTTTTTACCGCGGGAAAATATCTCATTTCTGAAAAAATAAAAAATACAAAAACTGCAATGTAAAAGTATACTAATATGTAAAACCTAAGAATTTGGTTTTTGGTAATCTGAACGCGGGCGGAGCCGCGGGCAATGCTAGTATATTTATATAATTAAACGTTTTACAAGTAAAGGACCAATATTTCATATTATTAGTGAAAATGACGATGTCCAAAACTCAAAAATATTGAAATCGTCTGATTAAATCCTATTAATGAGATAAGAATATGAATAATATTTACTACAAGTGACCAAGTGTAAGGAAATGTTTGACATGCACTTAATTAAACAATTTTGATAAAGTTTGATACAAGACAGAAAGAGTTCTGGACTAAATCTTAAGATGCTTATATGTCACAAATGAGTCCCCGTGCTCTAATTCTCTAGAATCTAATTTTAATAACTATTTAGTACTGAGCTTGAAAAGTTGTATAGAAAACCTTGTAATAAAGGAAATGATCTTCATACAAGCCAAATCGCGTGCAAGAAGTAGTACCTATTAAATACCTAAACTGACAAAATATTTTACAGGTTTGGTTATCCATCGCCTATCTACGTGAACGTTGTGCGCGATCCCATAGAGCGAGTTATATCTTGGTACTACTACGTGAGAGCTCCATGGTATTATGTGGAACGGAAGAGGGCATTCCCTGATCTGCCATTGCCTGACCCAGCATGGTTGAAAAAGGTAAACCTATATTTTAAAATGATTTTGACTTTAATTTTCTTATATAATAATATATTAAAATCTTCTTCAATAATAGTAGATATATAAATTATATTACCTTATTATAAAATGACCCCAAATTTAATACAATTTATATTGAATGCAGTGTTTTCGTTTCAGTGTTTCAAAACAAGGTTCGTAAGATTTCTATTTCATTTCATATAAAAGTAAATCACTTCTTACAAAATTTTCTTTACATGTGAAAGTTTAATCGATATTGGAAAATTTATTTAGCAAAATAGTTGTTACTATCTTTATATAGTGTAAATTAAATTATAATAAACAAATCTGCCTCTTCACTTGTTTATGGAACGATGCATTGATTCGATATTATATATTTTCCACTTTGCTTCGAAATATTATGTCCCATAATAAATTATAGAACTTAGTATTGTTAAAATAACTATACTGTAAGTGCATTGGAAAACTTTTGACGTAGAAGTTAGTTTCATCATAAATATAGTTAGGGAAGTTACTTGGAAATTGTTACGAGCACAACCAACTACTCTCAAACTGAGCAATTATGTGTGTGTGTGACTTAGGTGCTATAACGTATGGCTCTTGTACATTGTACATACATATATCTATACATATAATAAAATTCTAACTAAACCGAATCTGTACATTAAATATTTTTTGGAAAATCTTATTGAAATAGACATTATTATCGATACAGAGGCCGAATCTATAGTTTTTAGAATTTTTGTCTGTCCGTTACCGCATCACGGAAAAACCACTGGAGGGATTTTGATGAAATTTGGTATGGTGCTAGCTGGTTATCCGGGTCAACATATAGGATACTTTTTACCGCGGGAAAATATCTCATTTCTGAGAAAAAATACAAAAACTGCAATGTAAGAGTAATATTATGTAAAAACTAAGAATTTGGTTTTCGGTCATCTGAACGAGGGCGGAGCCACAGGCAATGCTAGTTACATATAATTTCTCAATTTAAAATTGTTCTAATTCTTATCAATTAAATTTTACAAAAAAAATATGTTCTCATAATATCATCAACTTATTAGTTATTACAAACTGCTTTATAATCAACAATATAAGCGATATATTTATATATTGTAGACCAATTATAATAACAAGAGCCCTGACAACGTCAGAAGTGATTTCACCTTACTCTTAAATCTTAATTAATCCTACATAATAAACATTAACTTTATCGTATTTCATATAAATTGGACAATGTATAACAATTTAAGATATTTTTTTTAAAAAGATTGAGAATAATTTCTCTCCCTTGCCACTACGTACACTTAAGCAGGTACCTACTTTGTAAAGTTATGATCATGTATTTGATATTGAATGATCATTATAATTTAACTTCAATTTTCAATAATTTATATATTTTTTTCTGCATTTAAAACCTGAAAGTATTTTTTTTAATTATAAAGTAATCATATTTTTTTATATTTTTGTACATTATATTTTAATGTACACTTTACTATGATGATATTATATATAATATTGAAAAAGATTTCAGGCTCAAATTATTTTCCAATCTGTGATATTTATTCCCCTCTGCTATTCCTTTGCTTTGAAGTATCAATCTTCTGTTTTTTTTGCTTTCTAATTTAAGTTGTTTCCATTGCAGGGTTCTGTTGCAATGAAAGTTTTTTGCAACCCGGAACTATTTGACAAATTCTTAGATTTTTTTATTTTAATGATTTATTTATAACTGTAGTGCTCAGTATCTATTTAAATTTTAAATATAAAAGAAAAAAGTTTAAAAAATATATTTTAGAATCGTCAACCAAGCGTTTTACGATCGTTAAATCTCTATTTTGTACCTACTATAAAAATCTAAATTCCTATCCAAACTTTTTGTCTTTTGGGAGCAGCGAACCTTTACACAATATCTTTTTTTAATAGGCCACAAAAACTTAAGGATCTTTTTAGCAGCAACAAATTGGTTTTATTGATTGTGAGAAATATTCCCTGTAAAAAATATACCAGACAAATTGAGCGTTAAGACGACAATAATCGATCAAATCCGTCTATTTTTCTTTAATAATATTATAACGTTTGATAGATGGAATAGTGCAGGATAGTCCCTTTTAGAAGATTACGTGAGGGTCTTAGTCCGTGACGGAACATCGACGGTAATAGGCTGCGCGTGCTTGGTCATTTAACAGATCTCTTCATATTGATGATCAGCGAGAGAAATCTATAATTACGTGCACTTTTAACTTAACGATTTCTCATATTTTAATATAATGAAATTGAAATTTAAATGATTTCTAAAATATTGCTTTCGAAGTAATGGAAATGTAACTTATAATATGAAACTTAAATCATATAGGCAGTACACTAATTTAACTTATCTCTGAAAACTATACTAATATTATTTATAAAGAGACAGTGTGTTTGTTTGTTTGAAAGCGCTAATCTCAGAAACTACTAATCCCATTTGAAAATTCTTTTTTCATTAGATAGCCCATTTATTGAGGCTATGTTATATCTTCATGCTACTGATCAAGGGAGCGAAGCAGTATTCATATACGAGTATGTCAACAAATCGGGCAGGTTTCCATACATTATTCTAAAGGGAAGGGAAAAAAGTGTTTGTTTTCTTTGTACTTTGAAAGCGAGTGAAGCCGCGGGTTCTGGTAGTTAAATATAAAATTATATGTTCTGATTGACTTCATTAACACCTTAATATTCTTATTTTCGCTAAACCACCGCATATATAGCGAGAAAGCCAATAAGAAGAAACAAAGACCGTAAGAAGAAAGTTATTTCTAATTAGAAACTTAATATTACAGTTCTTTAAAACAACTATTAAAAAAAAGTATTAAATTAAACAAAAAAAACAACGAGTAAGGCATTACGGCTAGTATATTAAGATCCTTTAACTCGAACTAAATGATATCTAAGTATGAGCAAAATTTTCCTGTTAATTATTGTTCTATTGTTAAACAAAGTGTGCACAACTACTTTGTAACAGACAGGACTACGAATGAGGGGAACACAAAAAATAAATTAGTTTCGAATCAACAAAAAATATGATATTCTAATTAGAGTTTAAAGAGTCATCGTATATTATTCTCCTCCAACTCTGACGGCTAGTTCATAGTAACTGTTTAATAATATTTCAAATTATAATATAAAACATGTATCTCGTAAGTAGCAATAATGTCATTTTATTAAAAAAGAACAATATATGTAGGTTATTTTCATTTGAGCGCATCATATATTTAAATATATTCCAAAATTTAAAAGCGCAGAAAGTACTTAAATGAATTTGAGTAAAAATTTTAAATTTTACTTCTCGTCAGTGATTGTTATCACAGAAACTTAGACGTGCGTGTCGAATGTCGCTACGCTTTTTATATGAAAAAAGTATTGTGTTCATAACTAATTAAAATAATATGACGAATCCAATGGGTCCGTTTAAGTTCCAATTTTTAACTTTCTTTTATATATTAGAAAGTTTTTGAGCATATCTAAACTAAAATGTTTTTCTTTCAATTATAATGTTCTGCTATTGTATTTTCTAGGATTTTGAAACCTGCGTTCTGAGCGGCGACCGTGAATGCCGCTACTTAGAAGGAGAGACACATGAAGGTATTGGCGATCATCGTAGGCAAACCCTGTTCTTCTGCGGCCACGACCCACAGTGCACGTGAGTATTTTATCGTAAGACAAAAATAGTTAGTTTCATACACATGATTATGCTGAAAATTGAAATATGTATATCTATAAAAATATTAATATGTTCCACAAATGATGAATGAAGATGAATGATCTATTATCTAATTATTTTTTTACAGACCATTTAATAGTTTGGAAGCCCTGCAGCGCGCAAAACGGGTGGTTGAACAACAGTATGCTGTAGTAGGTGTGTTAGAAGATATGAACGCTACACTTACCGCCTTTGAGCGATATGTCCCTAAATTTTTCCAAGGCGCTTTGAGAATGTATTGGGGTAAGTTGATGTACCGATTCAACCTAAAGAATTATTCAGTTCTGGTTTAAATTCAGATAAATCATCAAATTAAAATCATTTTTTCTCACGCTATCGCTCATGGCTCTGCTTAAGTCTTAAATGTTACAATAATACAAAATAGCAGTTATCTTTTAGAATTATCTGCCCGCTAGTAAATCCCCGTAGAAATCTATTAAAAAAATCTTTTCTGTTTTCCATATTACGAAAATCTTTGCTTTTCCACCCTTCTTAAAGCTAAACAACGAAATTTAAAGCTAAACATTAACTTATATGACTATATCAGGAAAATCACGTTGATCTTAACGGTTTAACCATTACAGAGTTACCTTAATAAAAACACACATATATATGTACGAGTATATACTAACAATCAGAAATGATTTAATTATTTTTTGAGCTTTAATATTACCATATAAGCTTTTTATGAAATAGCTATTTTGAAATCACTAAAAAATACATTTAATTTTATTTATAGATATCTTTATGTTTCTTTGCTTACTTCTTACTGCTACCTATCACTTAGTATAATTGTTAAAAGATGTTATAACATTTAACGTATTTATTATAAGACTTCATTATGTTTCATTATCTATTGCAGAAGAACTGAATACGTTTAACCGGATCAATCGCAATGCCTTCAAACCACCGGTCTCAGAAGTGGTAAAAAACATTGTTCGTGCCAACTTTACGAGGGAAATCGAATTTTATGAATTCTGTAAACAAAGACTGCATCTGCAATTAAAAGCACTGCGAGATTCTTCAATCCAATTACCCGTGACATCTAGCTATCAAATACCATCTAGCTACAATATGGTGTAGAACTAAAGACTGTTCGACTGATTAATTTCATGACCATATATTCGAAATTATTGTCAATGGTAAGTACTTAAATAACGACACTATAGTCTTATAATTTCGTGCTCATCATAAGAAGTTTAACGGCATCTATGGGATGTTTGAGAAACTGCTTTACATAGGATTAATTTTATATTGTATAAGCGCCATCTACTGTTCATTCTTTCGTACTAAGCGTTAACGTTTAAAGTCAACCACTTATGTAGTCAAGCAATAAAAGAAAAGGAAAAAAACGTGTTTTATGATATTGTTCACATAATCTATACAACTTTATTAATGCTAAAATGATAATATAACATGGTTTCCATATTGATTTCAAAAAAATATATAAAACTGAATTCGTTTAAATTAAATTCTTATTATAAGTAATAAAAAATATTATATTATGACATTCTTATGAAATTATTCACGTAAAAATCTGTAAGATTTCTAAATAATTGTACAGAGTTATCATTATGTATGTGTCGTTGAGTGTATATAACATCTCCAGTTCCAACTTTAAAGAAAAAAACGCTTGTGAGCTTTTACAGCATCTAAGCTTGTAAAAAATATATTTTAATTTTTTGTATGCTATTATTATCACTATTCATTATTATTCCTAATTTTGTTCTAAATGCAAGGTCGTAAAAATGTAACTTGTTATCTTTAACGGTGCTTCACACTGTAGAATCGTAGATATATTTAAACTACATATATTTAAAACTAGCGATTTACCCTCGCTTCGCTCGGATGCATCCCTCAGTACGTTTAATTTCTTTTGAGCGGAACCTTTTTTGTAAAATTAAATTAGCCTAAGTTACTCCTTATAACATCAGCTATCTACCAGTGAAAGTCCCGATAAAATCAGTCCAGACATTTCGGAGATTAGCCGGAACAAACAGACAGACTGACAAAAACTTCTTAAATTGTGTTCTTACTATAAGTAACGTATAAATTTCATATGCATTTAGTAAAAAGCTGTTATTTTGACATTACAAACAGACATTTCAATTTTATTTATCTGTATTCTGTATAGATATTGTAACTATATTATATATATACATATACATTTATTTGTCTGCTTGTGACAAATGCAATATTCAAGGAAAATTTAAAATATTTTTTAACTCTACGTCCATGGCTCACAATAAATATAATTCAATAAAACTTATTATTATATGGACGAATCATTAACAGAAAGTATTAATGGATATAAACATTTCAACAATATAGTACTTATACAGTGAGCAATGAAATCACTTGATAAATAATATACATATAGCACTGATAAATAAAACGTGACAGTTGTTTATAAATATTCAATATCTTATTTATATTCAACGATGTTCTCCGTCTGCCCCCAGACCAAGACTTTTGTAAGATATTTTTTTTCATTATATTGTTAATTAGGTTATAGTTTATGTAAATTTACTTTATTTACTTATTTATTAAAATATCATTTAATAATTGTGATATGTTTAGTCTTTATAAGATATTGTATACTTACATTAAAAAATTAAGTGACATAGTTGTTTTATTTGTACTGTTTTTAAACCTACATCTACAAACTGTATTTAAACAATTTTTATATAGTGGAAACTTTCCAGGAATAATAATGTATCACATAATAGACGAATTATTGGACTTGAAGACGCATTCTGATCGAATTCGGTTCATTCATTAATTTTGGCATCTAAACACAGTCGTTACAACAAAAAATATTATTTTTTATTTAAATTTAACATGCTTGACCTCTCTGCAGATTTATAGTAGTCCGATAAGATTATGTACTCACGAGTCAATGACCAGAATAACTTTTAATATTTTTTATAATACTTTCTTAGATTTACGCGAATATTTTACATGTTAAATAAAACTATCTTTTGGGATTTTTTCGCGGATTTATTTGGATTTTTGGTTCCCCACGTTTCGAATGCTTTACAGCAATCATGGTCACGGGAGAGACTGAGGTGATAGATTTTTTTTATATTTATAGTAGGTAAATAATATTAAGATCTTTAATATACTTGTAAATAACCTTGGCTTGGTTACTGGAAATAATTTTGTATTATTGAACCACATATCGTTACATTTTATGAATATGTGTGTCTATTTTATAGTAAATATGTATTTTAATACGTTTGTACATGCATAGCTAATCTGTTTTTATTTTTTGCTACGCCTTTTACCTGTCACGAGATCGTATAACATAATACACTTCATTGAATACTACATAAGTAGTTCCTCTTATGCTCATACGAGTACCTATATGATTAGATACCTACATTTAAATGCATATTTCAGTATATGGTCGTTATTTCCTTGTCAAATTGTTTAATAACCCGTCTCGCTTTATATTTTTAAATTATATTTTAAACTAATTAAAATACCGTATTTAAAAATTTATTTTCATCCTTTTGGGATCTATGAAAAGAAATACTCTGAAAGCTATGTTGTAATTTTTTTAATATTATACGTTTCCACAGTTTAAAATACTTTTTTTTAATTAGCAGCCCTGGATTGTCAACGTCAGTTAACACAAATCTTTATACAATGTAACACACTTACTATATTTAAAACAAGGTTAAAGATATAAGAATACTTTCGAAAGAACACATTTCGCTAAATTATTATTAGGTACTTTTTAATCATATATATATATATATATATATATATATATATATATATATATATATTTGTGAATGTTATAGTTTAAATGAGATAAATTAAACACTAACATATTATGCACATTCGTTTATTCGTAAATTTATTGCTAAAAACAGGTGTCAAAAAGAACAATTATAATAATCGATAGAATAGCATTTCTGCATCGTACAATAAAAATTAATATGGCCACATTAGAAGACTTCAGGTACATATAAAATGAAAATCATTATAATAAATATTGCTCATCGCTTACAATTAATAATAATTTAATTCAGTAATTGCTAATAGTCTCAATTTAAAATAGAATTTCAAAAGCCAAGTATTATAGTTGTCATGATTTGGTTATTATAAAAATATAAAAAGTTATATTGTTCATTATCTACATTTTCATTTATAAAACCATAGGTCCATACACTTTCACGATCTCCACAAAGGAAGCTTAATGTTTATACGATATCTATGTATATTATTATTTTTAGTGTAACAATTTATAAACATTATAAAAACCTAACAACACTAATTCCATCATATGTAATATATTTTATATTTATTTATTATAATTCCTTATAAAATTTCAGAGTGAATGTGAATAAATTCTATGTGACTTTGGATATAAATATAATACGGCTTATAGATTCACAAAATGTGTTAAAATATTAATATCATTCAGAATTTATCTCTCGGTCTATATACAAAGGAACAAAAGGCGGCGCACGCGACTTGATCTCGGCATACTTCTATCAAAATACAGTATTGCTTCTTTCTGTCCATTAGACGTTTAAATATTTTGTAATAGTATAAAATTCTATAAACATAAACGTCGTCACGGAAAATGGCACTAATCGAGCTGCACTCGTATACATAATTTCTACGCCTATCCTACGCATTTATCACAAAAATACAATTTAAGCCTCGATTTAGGACTTCATATTCACTAGCGAACCATTCTCAGCTGCAAGTTTATACTGAGCGCAGGAATGTGGCCAGCAACTGGCGCCCGCTCTTCGCTGCACACAGCCGAAACGAGACTTGCCGGAATCCTTGCTTCCGATAGCTCATCACTGTCTCTCAACATTTACCGTTCACCCAACGTGTACAAACTCAGTAGAATGAGGGATGCCAATCCACACTGGGGTGAAGAGTTCCCGAAGACGAGGGCGCAGGCACCGTAGCACCGAGAGCAAGACAATCAAAACAATAATTTGCTCCACTATTGTTGTCCCAGAATTGTTGACCTTTGCATTGAAAACGAACTGCCAGTTCTAACCTCTGCCCCGACGAAATGCAAGGTGCGTATAAAATAAACTGGAATCGATCCGAGAAGCCATCGCAAGAACCTTGGACGTAATTGGCCTGCAAGTCTGTGTACGTCTTCCAACGGTTCATAGTGTATCGTATGTGTACTGTCTTGTGAAAGTCTAAATTTCGCACCCGCACTGATCCACATATAGTGACGTGTACGCCATCACAAACTCGAGAACTCTCCATGCAAACATTTTGTTTTTCTAACTTTTCTGTGAAATCGCGTGGTAGTTGGAATAGAGGAACTAGTGTTAAAGCACCGAGACGAGGCGGAGGTCGAGCAGGCGGTGAGTTCTGTACATCACAACCGGTAAGATCATCGTAGGCAGATTTCGGAATAACAGGTATTTCATCCATAAAAGTTTTAACATCAGCCAGATCGAGTCCTAAAACGTCTGCGAATCTAACAATTTTTTTACGACCTGGAGTACCGGGTGGCGTCTTCCCCGTTTTCAATGATGAGCATCGACGTACTCGTTGTGGTTTATCATCTTCTGACTCATCTTCTCTTTTAGTTTCAGCATTTAATAGGGAAGGATCAATTTCAGGTGCCGGTGATAGATCTTTATCAATAGGAACTTCATTGGTGACTATTTTCGCTAAATCATTGCTTATTACTATAGTTTCGTTTACATCGTTTTCATTATCTTCATCAACTCTTACTGTTAATATTTCTTCTAATTCGTTAAGAGTTTCACTATCAGTAATTGACAAATTTTCTACCGCATCTGTAATATCATTTTCTACATTGTTCTCAATTTGAGATCCTTCTTCACTTTTTGCCGATTCAAATTCTGAGTCGCTATCTATCATTGAACTTTGTTGAGAATATGAATTTGACCGGTCTGGGGTTGTAACTGAAATAGGCTGAACAGCACAATCGACTTCATCAAAACTATTTTGTCGAGCACAGCCTTCAAAAGTAATAGCAGAATACAGTGGTTTATCAACGTGACCGTTCTCTCTCGATGTTGGTTGGTGTTTCACTGGTGACTCCGTGTAAAATGCAGTGGAAAACTTAAATCCATTTTTCCCTGCATCTGGTTGTTTCAACAATAGTTTACTTTGCTCTTTGTTTTCTGTGTTGGAATCAACATCATAAAAAGGCGGATCACTTTCTTCACTTTGTTTCTCTGGAAAGGATGGCTCATAGTTTTCAACTGGACTGGACGGACTCTCGCATTCTAGTTCAAAATCGTAGAATGTTTCAAGGTCTTTTTGAGAGCGCGGAGAGTTGGATGGTCGATGTGTAGAATTTTCACGAGTAAGCCAGCTATTTTCGCATTCGCCGTCTTGTGTAGCGCCTAGACTTCGGAGACGCGAATGTAGGTCCCGGGCAAACGCGGCAGCTCGACCGCGACACGACATCGGCAGTAGCGTTGTAAGACCGCACTGCGATCCCGCACGATCACCGCTCATCTGTGTCTGGAAAAAGAGAAAAAAAAGTTTGGTAATACTGCGTAATCAACTATCGTGTTACATAAATAGGTACTTAATTCAAAAACATTAAACAATATTTCGCCTATCCCTATTAACATTGTCGGATGTGAAAATCCACAACTTTACACAAAAATTACTTGTGGCTATTAAAAACTACTCGTAAAATAAAAAGAAAATGACAAATTTGCATATCCGACAATGTTAATAGGGATAGGCGATTTTATTTATTTATTTATTTTTAACCAAAAATGACATTGTCTAATAACTATAATAGTCTACGATAGTCGGTAAGTGCACCTTTCACACAAATTATTTATTCGTGAGTTACTATTCTCCGAATCGTGACTATCATGACATGAAAAGTGAATGTCAAGTGTGAATGACATCGATAAGATAATTTATACGCAGCTATGAATAGCACGCACGCTTATTTTATAAGATAACTAGCGGCTCACCCTCGTTTCGCTCGGGTTCGCCTCTAGAAAAACAAAAACAAATCTATCCCTCGGGAACCGTATATTTTCCGGGATAAAAAGTAGCTAAAGCACTAAAGTGTTATTCCACACTATAATCTATCTCTGTGCCAAATTTCATCCAGATCCGTTCAGCCGTTCTGACGTGAAGAGTAACAAACATCCATACATACTCACAAACTTTCACATTCATAATATTTGTATAATTATATAATACAGATGAGATGGCATGCATAAAAATAAAGGTAGTACAAGGAATGAGACATAACTAAATTAAACAATACTAAGTATTTATGATATATTGTTGAAATCATTTACATATAGTTTTATCAGTATTCTGAATACAAAAAAAAACATGTTCAAGTCGGTAGGTATGTATAATATCAGTAAATATGTTAATTACTTTAATAAACATAATTTGGTTAACTTAAGAGGATTGTGAAGCTGTAAATTTTCATACAAAAAGCGATAACGTTTTTCCCCCCTTAAACATAGTCTAATTTTCATAATTTTTGGAAATGTTGTAGATATGATCAAAATCTAGGTCCGTACGTTTTTATTTTTTAGAAATATTGCGTACGATAGAAGTTATTAGCATCTAAATATCTATATTTTTGACCTAAAAAATTCCTCTAGCGTTTCTATTTTTTTAAATTAAACTAAACTGAATTACAAAAAAAGGAAAACGTACAGACCTAGATTAAGGTGTACTGAATCTAATGAGACCAAAATCGTCTCATTTCGTTAATGTTTAGGGGGGTGAAAACGTTATCGCCCGAAACAATATTTCAAAAAGGAAATGTAGGTAATTGAGTCTAAGACTTGCAACTCTCTCTATCGCACCATTCGGGTCGGGGGCAGGGGCATATTGTAGACTGTAGTGATGTTGAAGGTGCTATCGATATTATTATCTCCTAGGGAGGAGAAGGTAATATCGATATATTGATCGATACTGAAAGGATTCAATCCAAAGTTTAGAATTTTATTATACTTGTATGTATAGATTGTAACTAAGCCGTATCTGTACATTAAATATTTTTTGGAAAATATTATTTAAATAAACATTATTATCGATACAGAGGCCGAATCTATAGTTTTTTGAATTTTTGTGTGTCTGTCTGTATGTCTGTCTGTCTGTCTGTTACCACGTCACAGATAAACCACTGGAGGGATTTTGATGAAATTTGGTATGGTGGTAGCTGGTGGTGGTATCCGGATCAACATATAGGATTACCGCGGGAAAATATCTCATTTCTGAGAAACAATACCAAACTGCAATGTACGAATATACTAATATGTAAAACCTACGAATTTGGTTTTTGGTGATATGAACGCGGGCGGGCCGCGGACAATGCTTGCTAAACATAAAAAGTTTCAATTGCATAGCTCTTTTACATTAGATTTTATTGATATCTAAAAAACTCCGATTTCGTCACTGACTCACTGATGATCATCAAAACTCTTAGGGTACTTCCTGAAGTCCTAGAAAGCTAAAATTTGGTATGTAAGCTAGTATTATAGTCCAATCGGAATCTGACAACAATATATTGAAAACCTGAAGTTTTATAATATTAAAATGTTAGCAGGTATATAAGGATTAGAAATTCGTAAAATGCCCCACATACCCAGCTACCCTCGAGAAATGGGGGACGCAAAGCGTTGAAAAATAGTTTTTTTCAATTTCCGGCTTACTGTGACGTTCTATCGAAAAATATTTTGTACAAATGTTAAAGGTCTAGTAAAAATCTACAACTTTTATAAATAACACTTTCTACGATAACCTCAAAGTTTTCGAGATATTTGCAGAAAACTCGGTTTTTAAATTTATCTTGAGTTTTTTATTTTTAATTTCTAGAATAATCTTTTGATTTTCATGGAACTAAGGGAATGTAATCTTCAAAATACATATAATAATAAAAAAAAAGAAAATGAAATATTTATAGAAATTTTCCGTTTCCGAGAAAAGTATGTATTATGGTCTCGATAGGCTGAAAATCACCCCCAACTTCAACTTCAAGTAGGCGTTTACATTTAAAAAAAAATCATTTAATTTTCAAATAGGGTTCATTCTTTTCGTTTTTTTGAAAATATAAAAATATTGTATGGTCGTCGTGTAAGAACACTAGTTATATATATATATATATATATATATATATAATATATATATATATATATATAAATACACATACATACATATACATACAGGGTCATTTTTAATTTACTGAAGACCTTTTGGGAATATACTATTTAAATAATAACAACAACCTCTGTAACAAGAAAAAATTATATTTCTTAAATTTTCATTTTCATACAAAAATAAAAATATTTTATATATCATCATCATCATTATATCTGGCCAAGTTTAAATGAGTCTTCCTACACCCCTCCACCCCTCGCCCTCCACCGGTCACGCGCTTTCTTTTGCTAATTGCTGGACTACTACCGTTAGAAGGAGCAATAAAAATACTTTTATTTTTGTAAAATTTATATTTTTAATTTTATATTCGTTATAATTTATAATATTCGTTATAATTTTAAAAAATTATTACAAATAGCATGTGTATATTTATATATATACACATACTATTCGTTATAATTTTTTCGAATTTATCGATATTTTATTAGTTTTTGCAGTTAATTTTATTGATTTTTCTGAAAAAAATGATTTTAGGGCAATTACAGAAAGAAATGAAATTCATTCGTAATCTAATCTTGTTTATTCATTAGTTATAAATATGTTTAAAAAAATTAAGTTGATATATTTTATAAAATTTAGTCATAGATTTGTTAAAAAATCGTAAATCATCATCATTCATGATCAGGTCATTTTATGAATTTCTATTCCTTATATACCTGCTAACATTTTAAAATCATAAAACTTCAGGTTTGCAATAAATAAATTATTTTAAAAATAAAAGGATTCCGATGGGTCTATTAGTACATAAACAACAAAAAATTCTAAAACTTTCAACTTTTGGAACGAGCTTTTTGTAATTGATCTAAACCACCTATTTATTTTTCTATGATTTTTTGAAGTCATCAATCTAAAGAAGTCAAATTTTAAATGATATTCGCCACAAAATTGTAATTTAGAGTTATTTCAGTTTATGAATAAAGGTGCGATGTAACTTGTAGGGAATGTATATTGTACGCAAACCGTAGATATTAGATAAACTTTGAAATTGCTCTTGCGCCGAGTCGCGCCGCCCCCGCCCCCGCCCCCCGCGAGCGCCCGCGCGTCACCGGCTGCTGCTATCATAGTGTGCGTGAGAATTTGCGTATGTTGTATTTGTGTTGTTCACTGCCGGGGGGATGCAAAGCGGCATGAAACAGATAGCATTTTTTAAAATACCTACTCCCGCCGCGTATCGGCACTTCACAATCCTCTTAAACAAAAAACAATTGGTTTTGTAATTATATCTACTATTATGTTATTATCCGACTTCAAAAAAAGGAGGTTATCAATTCGACACGTTTGTAAATATTATTAAAACTTCGAAAATATTCACATATAATGATTATCTATTAGGGCTTCCAAACAAATATACTAAATTATATAGGTGTATGTATATTTGTCCACGCATTGCTCCGAAATTAGTAATCGGATCGTAATCATTATTTTTTTATTTCCTTACATTTATTTCAATTTACGGAATAGTAAATATTGAATCAAAATCGGTTTACTAGTCTTTATGATAACGGGTAAAGGTCTAAAGCGGACTAAAACGTGTAACGGCAACTTATTGATACGAGCCGAGGTCAGAGGGAAAATGTCTCAAAATCTTGATCAAATTTTAGTGCGCATATAAGAAAATCAAAATGGCCGAAACCAAACTGGCCTCATGATACGAATTCGCGGCGTGAACTAAAAATTAATAAGTTTGCAGGGCCATCTGATACGAGCTACTAGAGTGGATTATTAATTAATTATTATTATTTATTACTTACTGGCAAATTAGATGAAGTTGTAGCACGCATTGCTATGTAAATGCAAACTACTACTACGTTCAAAAAATACAAAAACATTAAGTACAAAACTATTTCAGTTTTTACTTAAAACTAAAAATTATGAAATAAAAAGTAATTTAAAAAAATATTGCCGACTTCCAGGCACTAAAAAATTAAAAATAACTAAACGGGGGTTTTCATTTGTCATAGATACCTAATCAGATATCTTCGAAGTCGGTGCCAGCGCGTAATGATTTACGATAATATTAATATCTAATAGGTAAATATGACAAGGTAGGTATGAGTTAAAATATTATACATCAATTTGTGATGTATTTATATATTGTATCGAAATAGATTTGCTTTGCTTTGCATCGGCAATTAGGTCCATCACATGTTTTTTTAAATATTTGAGCGCGCTGCTTCAGTATATTAAAAATACATACATATTATGTAAGTATATGAATAAATACGAGTACCATCAGCGTATCTGTTATTGTTTAATCCCTTCGTATGAAACAAAAGTTGGTCTATTTTACCCGACTACGGCGAAGCCCA